AAGCAATGAGGAACCATGGAAGCATGGAGGGATGGAAGCATGGAGGGAATACTCACTGAACTACCTTCGAAGGAACTCTCTTGCCCCGTGGAGATTCGTTGGCCCCATGCACACTCGCTTGCCCCCACTGGGCCCCCTCAGTATCGGACAACTTTAAAAGGTCCACATTAAGCTACCTAATCAAATTCATCCCACCTCCTACCCCCATGGTGCTTGGCGTCGGATCTCGGGGTGATGGCCAGGGTGCCCTCCAGCATGGGGTCCATGCTGCTTCAATCACCCCACACTAGAACACACCACCGGAGTCACACTTTCTCCAGTCCCTCTCACCTCCTGCCCCCGTGGTGCTTGGCGTCGGATCTCGGGGTGATGGCCAGGGTGCCCTCCAGCATGGGATCAACACCCACATGCCGTTCGTACTCCAGCAGAGCCTAAACAGGAAGGAGGGGCGGGAGGAAAAGGGGGAGGACCATGTGTATCTGGGCTTATTACGCCCCCCAGCATGGGATCAACGCCCACATGCCGCTCGTACTCCAGAAGAGCCAGGAGATGAGGGTGGAAGAGGGAGGGGAGGAAGCGGGGGGGAGACCATGTGTATCTGGGCTTATTATGCCCTCCAGCATGGGATCAACGCGCACATGCCGTTCGTACTCCAGCAGAGCCCGGAGAGGAGGGTGGAAAGTGGAGGGAGGACGAGGGAGAGGGGGGGGACCATGTGTATCTGGGCTTATCACGCCCTCCAGCATGGGTCCACGTTCACATGCCGCTCGTACTCCAGCAGAGCCTAAACAAGAAGTGGGGGGGGAGGGAGGTAAGAGGAGAAGGGCCATATGTACAGTTGGCGGTTCTAAATGGGGGGTTTATTCTTCACAAACCACCCAAATCCTTTCTCGAGAGACCGCGGAATGCGCTTTCATTTCATCCTTTCAAAAAGCGAGCTACGCAACGAACCGAATATCTGGAACCTACACTCACTCTCGCGATGCATTTGTGAGCAGAAATCAATCACAGCGCGCCAAGTCTTTGAGAGCCTCGCTTCAATATCGAGTGGGAGGCGAATATTCTGGCCGCTTCAGAAGATTGTCAGTGGGCTACGCTGTATAGCTTGTCACAACCCACCAGACCCTGCCACAACCCACCAGACCCTGCCACAACCCACCAGACCCTGCCATAACCCACCAGACCCTGCCACAACCCACCAGACCCTGCCACAACCCACCAGACCCTGCCACAACCCACCAGACCCTGCCACAACCCACCAGACCCTGCCACAACCCACCAGACCCTGCCACAACCCACCAGACCCTGCTACAACCCACCAGACCCTGCTACAACCAACTCAGCATACCTTCTCGTAGAAACCCCGGAATGACCAGGAGAGTGTCGTGCATGATCTGAAACGGAAAAGAAAGCAACCAAGTCTCAGAATAAGTCATTTCATTTCCATGCGTGAGGAGTCTGTTTTTTAGGCGCCTCAAAAAGAGTGTCGTGCACGACCTGAAGCAAGACAAGACTCAGAATAAATAATTTTCAGCGGGATGGCCTTAACCAGCGAGTGCAGGCAGGATCGCCTGCACAGGCGCAGCTACTATGCCAGCAGAAACGAGGAAATTGCGCTAAGAGGAATACAAGTTGGGAAATTGCACTTAGAGGAATACAAGTTCGAAAATTACAGTAAGAGAAATTCAAGTTAGGAAATTGGCAGACCGTAAAACTAGAGTACATACTTGGGTGGGTCGAATTGGTCTCCAACGACGCGCCAGAGCTTGCCACTTGTCACCTGATGATTGGCACACACAAAAATGGAAGCTTGGAGAATAAGCGGTTCTCAGACAAGAAGAAATAGAAGCAGACTTCAAATCAACGACGTAGGTTTCTTTTCAGCGAGGGAGAGGAAAGTGGCTACCTTGTCAAAGCCACCGAAGGAGCAGACAACTTGCCAAAGTCTGCAAGCAGAGAAGGAGGCGGAGAGAGGGGGGGAGGGGGGAGGGAAGAGGGGGGGAGAGGGCGAGTGGGGTGAGTGACAGAGGAGAATATAGGAAGGAGGAATGAGAGGAGAGGCAACACGGTAAGGCCAGAAAAGCAGAAAAGCGAGCCGCGACCACGACGCCCCTGCTGCTGCCGCCGCGGAGAGCGCTCAGCCACGCAGAGCGCTCTGCCGCTGAGAGCGCTCTGCCGCTGAGAGCGCTCTGCCGCTGAGAGCGCTCTGCCCCTGAGAACGCCCTGCCGCCGTCCAAAAAAAGCGACTTTCCAAGCGCGTATTTTAAAAGTTCGTACTCTCTATTGCGAGTTCGAGAACGGGGGAAAACGCGTGAGGAGGGTAGGTGGGAGTAGGTCGTACCCCGTTTCGCTAGCCTAGCACAGAACCTTGCTGTCCGCGATAAGAACATAACTCACTTTAACAGATCCACCTCCACGCCATAGAACTTGGGAACCTTAAACTCCTGATGACGCGTCTCGAAGAACGCCTGGAGCTCCTTAACGAACGCCTTAGTATCCGAGCCGCGACCGGGCGGCGTCCGTTGCGGCGTAGTCTCCATCCCCGACGAACCGCCTACGCCGCCGATTAAAGCCGCGGGAGGGCCGGGCGTGCTCGGACCGCTTCCTTCGACCCCACCTTGACCGGGAAAAGAGCTTCCATGAGTTCCGGAAATTCCGGGACCTCCGCCTGGAATGTTCCCAATTACGTGACCGCCGGGAACGGAACCAGGGGTAGAAATCGGAGTCGTTTCTATTTGAGAGGGTATATCTTGGGCGGTGAGGATTTTGGACGGATCTCGAGGAGGTTCGAAGCCGCGCGAAGCGGGTGGGGGGAGGTGCGGGAGATTTGACGACACACCAGATGCCTTTTGGGTCGAGTCAAACGGCACCGGAAGATTCGGCGGTAAGCCAGATCCGTTTTCAGGACGGGCGGCAGCTTCTTTGCCGTCCTCCATATTAGATTAGTCTTGAGCACTGCAGTAACGAACAATCCGCTGGAGATTAACCGTAAGCAACGAAACGGACACTTACGGGTCTATCAGCTTCGCTGGGAACGGACTTGCGCAGAAGTCGCCCTGGCTTGGCCGTTCAAACTAACTCTCGCTGACATCTTCCATATTACTTTACAAGCTGGCGGACAACTAACGCAGCCTACAGCCGAAAGAGAAACTGATCGAGCACGGAGACACCAGGGAGAGGGAACGAAAGATTATGTACGTAGTGGAGCGAAACCAGCGGCTAAGTCGCTGCGTGGTGGAGGGAGAAAGAGATGAAGCACACCAAATCCCCAAGAAACAGCGCCATTCCTCCCTGCTTCCCTAATTTACCATCACCTTCCCCCCCTGCCTCGGGTTTGCTCTGTTCTTGACCTTGCCAGAGACAGATCCATGATTCCCTGCAATTCTCGCACCCCAACACATGGCGGCGGGTGAGGGGAAATCAGTTTCGTCAGAGTTCGTCAGGAGGGCGCGAAAAGTATCGGGTAGCAGGATAAGACTGTCGCAGTTGCTCGTCAGGGACCCTGATTTCTCGCCGAATGGGTTGACGGTTGCCGTCCACGATGGATTCTCTTTCTCACCTCACCAGCTCGAAAGTTGGGCTGGATTTGGATTCCTCTTGCACAAAACCGTCTCTGTTGGATCCTCCTGCGCATTCAGCTATCGATGTTCAATGTTCGATATTAGTATGGAACATATGCTCCACCATAAGGTCTTGTGTGTCTTCATATAGTTCGCTCCAAAAGCAACCATAAGGATCTTACTCACCACCATCCTATCTTTTGAACTAGGTAACGTGTATGAATGACAAATGGGACCAAACAAACCCGCTGAGTCATTCCCATCCACACCTTGACCTATATATATATATATGCTGATGTAGCAGACCAACCTTACAGATGCACTAGCCTTGTGCTTGGGACCGGTGAAAGTGAATGTTCTTCCACTCCCAAGCTCCGTCAGCAGTCTTGCGCCTCTCCCATACTCTCGTCTCGTTGAATGCTTTGCTTTCCACCTTTCCTGAAGCATCAGTCATCTGAATGAGACGCGTGTAGGAGACAATACCCGCATTCCCAGCAATGGCAATGTGGGGTGCAACCATGGTCGACTTTGATGAGCCGTTTCCAGAACTGCGATCAAAATAGTACTTGTGGAAGTCCAGGCCCTTGACCAAGCCACCTGCAAGCCAGAGGTTGAACAGTCAGAGGCAAAAAAGAGCTCTAAACATACTTGATATATCGGGTATTGCAATACCTTGTGCTTCTGGCTCGAAGGCGGTGAGCTGCGCATCAGAGAGGTTTGAATATGTCTTGTAGTCCCCAGTGTCAACTGCATTTAGCAAGGCCTTCGTGTGGTCCAGCAGATCACCCTGTGTGTGACCATAAAAAGTCAGCATTGAGACTGTTTCCAAAAAAGCGATCACGAAAAGAAGCACCTGGTGTATACCTCACGGAACTTGGTAAAAAGAGGAGAAACTGCTTGGAACACTTCGTCTGGGGAACGGGTAGCATCGATCTGCGTCGGAGTCAGGGGGAGAGGAAAGGATAACACTGATAACAGGCTGCATTGCAAATGCATCACCGCATGCAATCAGTCACTCCACTCCAGGTCATAGGATGCTGGCAAATTACGAGCATGGCCACACAGAAGAAAGGGCCATGCTGCCACAACACTTTCGACAACTTGCTTTCCTGGACTTCATGTGAGAGAAGCTCTAATAGGCACATCCAGCTGACATCAGGGAATCAGTGCGTGAGACGCACAATACATCAAAACCTCCCCCACGGACCTTTCGCACTTTGCCGCGCAGGTCATAATGATTCACAACTGGAATACTCTGGTCCAAGAAGACCCGGAACCTTTTTTTGATAGTATCCATGTTGTCGTCAATACGGCCCTGCAGAAAATGAGAGGTTCAACAGTACCCGGAGTGAATCCCTCAGTTACAAAAGTAAGACAGCCTGGCAATAAAAGAATAGAATGAACTCACCTGGTTTCTGCCAAGCAGACGCTTAACCATTACGTCCTCTGGGCAATCAAAGAATAGAATAAACTCAGGATCGACTCCAGTCTGCAAGCAATGAAAAGCTGTCAAAAGTCTGAACCAGTACACCCGATAAATGAACAATGCAATTTTACTTTACCTGCTTCTCGAAAACAGTCCTGTTATCATTGTTCCGAGGGAACCCGTCAATAAGAAACTTGTTATTCCCGCTCTCCTTCATTGCCTTCTGAAGAAGACCAACAGTGACCTCGGCTGGAACTATCTTTCCCTCCTTGATCATGTTCTGAATCATGTTTCTGTAGCAGCCGAAAAACGTAGACCTCAGCAACGATACGATGTACAGCAGAAGCGACGCTAAATAGCAAAGAGAATCATTCATCCCTTACCCGTGAGAAGATCCGGACTTGATCTCGGCGCGAAGTAGGTCGCCAGCGCTCAAGTGAGTGAATCCGTATTCCTCTACAATCTTGGCGCACTGAGTTCCCTTGCCACTCCCAGGACCGCCTGCTCCGAGCAGTGCAGTGATAGTTTCTTAGAGATTTCAACGGAAGTTTACGTCAGCGGGCTACAGATAACGACGAGAGGAACGTACCAAGGACGAAGATGATCTGCGGCTTAAAAGATCCATCTGGTCCTCCGCTAGCGGACTTTCCGGCACTACCTTCCTGCACGGACGCAAACGAAGACTTCAGTTATCGGGTTATCACTAGAAGGAGAGGAGAAAGGATATAGCTATGGCGGCCCGTACCGATGAGGCTTCCGAAAAAGCTATCGATTCGGAAGGACTGACGACTGCCGGAAGAGTGGCTACTCCACCGGCTGCCAGAAGCCATCCCAGACGACACCACTTCTGTTCACAGAAATACGTCTACGTTCAAACAACCGTAGAAAAACACATCCTCTGATATGAAGCAAAAAATGTAAAAGAAAACTGAGACTCTCACATTCGTCTCAGGGAAGTGACCCCCACAGAATCCGCAGTTCCAGCTGCGCCTGACTTTTGCCGTGAGCCGCGCATGGCACCGCGTCTGCCTGCAAGGCGCTGGACGAGTCGTTAACGACATCGAAAAGGACGAGAATGACTATCCACTTCTCTCGTTACTCACAAGCACACGCGGAGAGAACACCGACGGGAGGCGACCACGCTTCTTGAGGATCTCAGTAAGAGCATTTCTGGCAGCCATGTTGCTTGATCGGCGAAGATCAGGTTGACCAAGCCAACAAATGGACAGTGATATCAGCCTAGCCACGAAACTAGCAGAGAGAAGGCTGAAGAGATGCGTGGTGGAAAACACGGAGATTGCTTGAGGATCAATGTATGGTTGGTGGTGATTGGTCGCACCAATCGAGCAGAGGTAGATCCGTCAGCCCAGCTGCGAGGCGCGGTTAATAAAAAGCTAAGGTTATTTTTTTTTTTGATAGAGCGTGTCGATGTATATAATGGTCAGTATCTCCGCCTGTCACGCGGAAGATCCGGGTTCGATCCCCGGCATCGGCGCTTTGTTGTCGTCAACTGAATTTTTCCCAGCCTTTCCTTTCCATCTTCAAAGACGGCGAGATTTTCGCAATCATTTTTTCTTCGCCCTCGTCTAAGTAATTTGGTCATGTCCGTCTCGAGCGCTCTCGAACAAATGGCTGCTCTGTCACAGGACGATCGATTAGCCTCTCGCAATTCCCCTGCACTTCCTCCGCCTCCCCCTCTTCCGCCTCCGCCGCCTGCTGCGCTGCCATGGCGCTCCGCTCCCCCGATGCACCAGTCGTTGGAGGAGATGGACTTCGAGCGGGGCCTTGGGGTGCCGCGCACGGGGGGACGTTGCGCGGGTTGCGCTTTCTGCTCAGTCGAGGCGCTTGCGCGGACGGGTGCTGCACGTGGCACCGACGGAGGGGATACCGGCAGCGCGCCACCGAACGGGCACACGCCTCTGATCTACGCCGCGCGTGCCGGACACGTGGAGGTCTGCGATTTGCTGCTGAAGGTGCGTGAAACGCAGCCTTTATGCTGCTGACGAGAATAAACGCCCCATTGCATCAGCTTCCCCTTCGTGTTTCTCAATCTGTGAGTCTCTGTTTCGTAAGTTCCTAGAACCAACCTCCCCGTTCCATCCCGGGGGTTGCAGGGGCAGGAAGGCGTCACCGCGTGATCCCTGTCCTATGTCCCCCTCCGTCCCCTCCGCCCCCCCCGCCCCTCCCCCGCCCCCTTCTTTCCCCCCTCCGATCCCTTCCTTCCATCCTTCCCTCGCCATCCTCACTCCCTACACTGAGCATCAGTAGCAGGAAGAACCAGAGCAGGGGCGCCACCGCTCTGACCGCACTGTAGGGAGGCAGGGACCAAGAGGCGGACCATGGTGCCTCATTTTCTCCCCTACCACCCTTCCTCCCTGACCTCCCCGCAACAGATGGCTCCTGAGTCGACTCAGAAGTCATTCTCGCCCACACCCACGTTCCTTGACCTCCCTCCCTGCAGCGCGGAGCGTCAGTGGGGTTGAACACTAGAGCAGGCTGCGCCCTCTGCACCGCACTGCACCGAGCTGCAGGGGCGGGGCCTAAACTCAGGGTTGCTGGCCCATGATATTTTCTCCCACCTCCCTGCAGCACGAAGCGTCAGTGGGTGTGGGAACGATCGAGAGCAGGGGCGCCACCGTTCTGCACATGCTGCAGGGAAAGAGTTGACCGTGCAGCGTCCTAGCTCCCCAACATCCCATCTCACCTTACTCCCTGCAGCAAAGAGCATCACTGGGAGCGAGAATGAGAGCAGGGGACGCGACCGCTCTGCACCGCGCAGCAGGGGCTGGCATGAAGGGGTTGCTGGCACACGAACAAAGTAACCCCCCCCCTCCTCCTCCCCCACCTCCCTGTCTCCACTTTCTGCAGCACGGAGCGTCAGTGGGGGCAAGGACGAGGGGGGCGCCACCGCTCTGCACCGCGCAGCAGGGGGGGGGCATGAGGGGGGTGTGGTGGCTCGTGTACATGTAACTTAAGATATGTGGATGACTTTTTGCCTGCCGTTGCAGCACGGGGCTTCAGTTGGAGCAAGGACGAGAGCAGGGCTGCCACGCTCTGCACCGCGCTGCCGGGGCGGGGCATGAGCAGGTGGTGCAGCTGCTGCTGGCGCATGGTGCTGACGTAGCAGCTGTGGATTCTGATGGGTTGACTGCTGCGGATAAAGCCAGTGAGTGGGGGAGGGAGAGGGGAAAGGGGGGGTGGGGGGAAGAGGTAGGAAGAGACAGGCGAGGGTATTGAAGATGTGTATGGGGCAGCTGTGGATGCTGATGGCTTGACTGCTACGACGAGCTGGTGAGTGGGTGGAGGGAGAGGGGAGAGGGGGGGAGAGGTAGGAAAAGACAGGCTAGGGTATTGAGATGTGTAAACGGGGCAGCTGCGAGTGCTGGTGGCTTAACTGCTACAGACGAAGCTGATGAGTGGGAGTTTGGGAGAGGGAGGCGAGGGAGTGTAGGCAGAGGATGGGACATAAAGAGGAGGCCTAGAAATGGGGCTGCTGTTACTGCTGATGGCTTGAGTGCTGCAGAGAAGGCTAGAGGTGGGGGTGGGGATGATGTATTTGCTTCCACCGCATGTCTCGCATTATCGCTTGCTCCTCCTGTGCCCATGTGCGCCCACATACTGACATCTCCCCATGATGCCGTGATGTTGCGCCTTGGCCGTGTACCCACCAGTTTTTTTGCTGCAGAGTGTCAGAATCATGAGAGCATTGTAGCCCTACTCTCCCCCTCTCTCCCTCTCTCCTCTCTCCCCTCTCTCCCCATGTACCCACTGGTGCCTGATGCTGCAGGTTGTCAGAATCATGAGAGCATTGTAGCCGTACTCTCTCCCTCTCTCCCTCTCTCCCATGTACCCACTGGTGCCTGATGCTGCAGGTTGTCAGAATCATGAGAGCATTGTAGCCGTACTCTCTCCCCTCTCTCCCTCTCTCCCTCTCTCCATATGTACCCACTGGTGCCTGATGCTGCAGGGTGTCGAATTGAGAACATTGTAGCCCTAATCTCTCCGCACCAGCTGAAGCCCTAATGACTGCTGGCTGGCATTGTGACTTAGTGCCCCAAGATAAAATAGCAAACCCCATTCAAATTGGACCCAGCGAACAAGAAAATGGGCTTGGTTAGAAGAAGAGTTGGTTTTTTGGGGGGGCAGCTGGCTATGTTCGGGATAGATTCGGAAGCAGTTAGTGCATGGAAACTATCGAATTCGAGGGGACTTACTGTTCACTTGCTCGTGTGACGACAATCTTGCCTCTCGTACAGCTGGCGAGGCGTCGCACTACTTCAGATCCCGCTGTGACACCCCAGAAAAAAACCTGTGTCAAAGTAGTGAAGTGAGCTCTAGGGAGCCATGTGACATAAGGGTTTGGTGTTGTTCTCTAAGAGCACTAACCCTCTAGCCTATAATTATACATGCACAGCAAATGTTGAAGTTGACACACCCCCTAGGCTAGATAAGGGGCAGTGCCTAGCAACAGACACAGCTCAAGGCGGCACTACTAGTCCGACCTCTGAAGCAGGGGTCCGAAGACCAGTCAAGAGTTCTAACTCAACAAGAGTATTCAGGGCGGCACTGTCAACTTATACATATTATCTATGTAGAAGTTATAGGCTAGACTGAGGTATGCTTCTAGTGAGTACAACCAACTAGTATTTGTTCTAGGTTTCCACCTCTAGTAATCATTCGTTTCTACGTTAACATGGTATCACGCTTAGGTTAGGATCCCCCCGCCTACCGCTTCCGCCCGTCGCGCTCCTAGGCCCCGTCGCGCCCCCCTAGGCCCCGTCGCGCCCCCCCTGGGCCCCGTCGCGCTCGTTAGGCCCGTCGCGCCCCCTGGGCCCCGTCGTGCCCGCTGGCCCCGTCGCGCCTCCTAGGCCCCGTCGCGCTCCCCCTAGCCCCGTCGCGCCCGCTGGGTCCCGTCGCGACCCCTAGGCCCTAACGCGCCCCCGCTGGGCCCCGTTGCGCCTCCTAGGCCCCGTCGCGCCCCCATGGGCCCCGTCGAGCCCGCTGAGCCCCGTCGTGCCTCCTAGGCATCGTCGCGCCTCCTAAGCCCCGTCGCGTCCCCCCCTCTGGGCCCGTCGCGCCCGTTCGGCCCGTCGCGCCCTCCTAGGCCCCGTCGCGCCCGCTGGGCCCCTTCGCGCTTCCTAGGCCCGTCGCGCCTGCTAGGCCCCGTCGCGCCCCCCTGGGCCCGTCGCGCCCGTTAGGCCCCGTCGCGGCCCCCTGGGCCCCGTCGTGCCCGCTGGTCCCCGTCGCGCCTCCTCGGCCCGTCGCGCCCCCCTGGGCCCCGTCGTGCCCGCTGGGCCCGTCGCGCCCTTAGGCCCCGTCGCGCCCGCTGGCCCCTGTCGCGCCTGCTGTTAGCGCTCGCCCGCCTGGCCTCCTCCTAGTGCCGCTCGGCCTCCTCCTAGTGCGCCCGGCCTCCTCCTAGTGCCGCCCGGCCCCTTCCTAGCGCCGCCCGGCCTCTCCTCAGCGCTGCCCGGCCCCTCCTCGTGCCCGACCGGCCCCAGCAGCACCAGCCTGGCCCCCTCCCAGCACCAGCCCGGCCCCAGAGCACCTGCCCGCCTCCCTGCTCGGCCTGCCGTGTCCTCTCGGGCCCTGTGTCTTCTGCTTGCCTGCGCTGGGACGCCTAGCTGCTGCCCTACTGGAGAGTGCTGCCGCCGTGTCCCCGCGCCGCTGTGCTCCTGTGCCGCTGAGGAGCTGTGCTGCTGTGCCGCTGTGTCGCTGAGGAGCTGTGCCGCTGACCCTGCACGATGGCTGACTTTGTGCTCCGCCTGGACGCTGAGGGCCACGCGGTTGACTTCGCCGCCTGGCTCTCCGATCTTCGCCGCCAGCTTACAGGTCAGCGCCGGGATGGCCACTCTCTGGTTGTCCATGCTGATGGCTTGCTCCCCCGTCCCCCTGCACCTACTCCCCTCCCTGCTGACCCCTCCTCTGATGACCGTGAGGCTTTCTCTACTGCTGCGCTGGCCTGTGCGATCTGGGACTCACGCGATGCAGTAGCTCAGGTTGCTATTAGTCACGCCCTCCCTGTGTCTGAACGCTCGCGTTTGCTACTGTTGAAACGGCCAAAGCTTATTTAGACGCCGTTATTGCTCGCTATTCCACCCCTGCCTCCGCTTCTGCTGGCCGCTTGCTCTTTCCGATGCTGTTCCCAGACCTGGCTGCCTTCCCTACTGTCGCAGATTTTTGCCACTCATTTGCGTGCCCTAGAGACTCGCTATCGCACTGCCAGCACTGCTGCCCAGCTCACTGCGCTCCCCCTCCTTTCTGCATGACGCTCTATTTTATCGCTATGCGCCTGCCAGACCGCCTCGCTAGTGCTCGCGACCACTTTCTTAGCCAGCACCCGGGTGACCTCACCCTGACCGCCTTTGTCGACACCCTCACTGAGATCGAGACTCGCCAGCGCACTATCGCTCAGTCGAGCGGTGCGCCGCCAGTCTCTATCTTTCACGGCTGTGCCCCATCCCCGTGCACGTTCACTGACGTTTCGGCTGTGGTCGCCACGGCGACCCCTCTTACCGAGACGGCTGCTGCTGTCCACCCGCAGCAGCGCTCGCGTCGCGGTGGCCGTGGCCGCCAGGGAGGTAGGGGTGGTGACGCAGGTGGTAGTGGTCGTGGTGGTGGTGACGGTAGTCCGCCTGAGGGGACTACCACCGGTGGGCAGGAGCAGCAGTCCCAGCAGCAGCAGGACCAGCCCCAGCCGCAGCCGCCGTCCCAGCAGCACCCGCCGCAGCCGTGGGCTCGTCTCCCGCCTGGTTGGCCCGGCACCTCCGGAGGCGGTGGCCGTGGTGGCGGCCCGCGCAGCTTGGCGTCTACCAGCGGCTCCAGTGCTGTGACCTGCCAGTACCAGCTTCAGACCGGGCCTCTCCGCGGCACTCTGTGCCGCCGCCCGCACCCGACCGCCCGCTGTTTCCGCCGCCTCGACGATCTTTTTCGTCGTCGCTTTGGCCCGGCCCCGGACCTCCCTGACTGGCACAGCCTGCTCCGCCAGGGCGTGCCGATCTTTGAGTTAGACATGGATCAGATAGGTGCTGCTTTGCATGCTTTGTATGCTGACGCTTCTAGTGTTGATGGATCTTACTACCCTGTGTACTCTAGTTTAGGTGTTTCACCCTTGTGTAGCTTAGCTTCCCCTGCTGCGACAGGCGTAGGACTGCCTAGGTTGCCTAGTCTAGTCGCTGCACCGGCTCCGTCCCCGGCCCCCGCCACTGCGTCGCTGTCCTTCACTCTCGACTCTGGTGCTTCTGCCTGCTTCTTCCGCGACCGTTCCACGCTCACGCCGCTTGCTGCACCTGCTGTTGTCTCTCTCGCTGACCCCTCTGCGGGTCCGGTCGTCGCGCGCAGTTCTACGTCCCTTCCCTGTCCGGCAGTTCCCTCAGGCTCCCTTACTGGCCTCCACGTTCCCTCGTTCTCCAGGAACCTGGTTGGTGTCGGCTGTCTCCAGGACCTCGGCGTCACCACCACGTTCCCCGGGCACGAGCGGTTCGCTGTCTGTTCTGAGGCTGTCTCAGGTTCCCCCCTTGCGACGTTCCCACGGGACCCGGTGTCCGGTCTGTTTACCCTACACACCGCTTCCCCCCCGGTTGGTGCGTCCTCCCAGGTCGCTGCAGCTTGCTCGTGTCGGTCCCTCACTCACCCCTCCCTTCTCTGGCACCACCGCTTAGGTCACCCTGCTCTCCCGCGTCTGCGTCACATGTCCCAGCACGGTCTTGTCTTAGGTCTCCTCGCGTCGCTCCCTGCCCTTCCTCCCTCGACTGCGCCACCGTGCACACCTTGCGTCGAGGGTCGGCTCCGCCGTGCTCCTCACTCCTCCTCGCTGCGTCCTGCTACTGCCCCCTTCAGACCCTGCACTTGGACGTTTGGGGCCCTGCCCCGTCCCCGGACCGCGCGGTGAGCGCTACTTCCTTGTGCTCGTCGACGACTACACGCGCTACACCACGGTGTTTCCCCTGGAGCGGAAGGCCGACGTGCCCGACGTTCTTCTCCCGTGGGTTGTGGCTGCGCGTCTCCACCGCGGTCTCCCCGTGTTGTGTCTCCACTCCGACCGTGGCGGCGAGTTCGCCTCTGGTCGGCTTGGACAGTTCTGTCGTGCGGAGGGCATCACCCAGTCGTACACGTTGCCGGACTCGCCACAGCAGAATGGGGTTGCTGAGCGCCGCATCGGCTTGGTCATGGAGGTCGCCCGTACCTCCATGATCCATGCCGATGCCCCCCATTTTCTGTGGCCGTTCGCTGTTCGCTACGCGGCTCACCAGCTTAACCTGTGGCCACGCTCCCAGCGGCCGCAGGTTTCGCCGACCTCCTTTGGACCGGGTCCCCCGGTGACGCGTCTGCGTTCCACGTCTGGGGCTGCCTTGCTCACGTTCGTGCCTCTGGCACGGACAAGCTCACTGCCCGCACTGTCCCCTGTGTCTTCCTCGGTTTCCCCTGGACTCGTCTGACTGGCTTTTCTACCACCCGCCGTCTCACCGCTTCCTCCACTCTCGTGACGTCACCTTTGATGAGTCCGTCTCCTTCTACCGCCGCTTCCCTCACCGAGGTCTCCCAGTTGCCCCCCCCTTTTCCTTGCTCCCTCTCCCCCGGTAGCCCCTGCCCCTCTCCCGCCTCGTCCTGCCCCGTCTGGTGTCTCCCACGTCACTCCCTCCCGTCGGTTGTCCCCGTTGAGGAGTCTGCTGACTCTGGTGGTACCCCCGGTCCGTCCTTGCCGCGTCCCCCTTCCCCGGTGCCTCCGCCCCCACTGTCGCAGTCGCCGACCCCGCTGCCGCCGCCGTCGCCGTCGCCGCCGCAGCCGTCGCCGCTTTCGTCCGCCGCCGCCGCTGTCGCTGCCGCAGCCGTCGCCGCTGTCGCCGCCGCCGCAGCCGTTGCCGCCACTGCCGCCGCTGCTCTCGGCCCCTGGGGGTGCTGGTGTGGAGGAGGGTGTTCGTCCTGCGGCTTCTGGGGGTGCTGCTGGTGTTGGAGGGGGTTCTCGCTCTGGGGGTGTTGGTTCTGGGGGTGCTGCTGTTGAGTGTTCTGCCGACGGTCGTTCTGCCTCTGCTGGTTCGAGAGTTCCGGCCCAGCCGTCGTCGCCGCCGCAGCAGCCGTCGCCGCCGG